GGTCGCATTGATTTTATTTTTGGTTTGCTTGTAGGCCGCTGGTACCCGCATTCAGTAACGCCGAAATTTTGGCACTGCTTTGAATAGTTTAGTCGCAAAGTGAAGAATCACGGGCAAAAAGGCCCAAAACGTCGAGATAGTTTTATTTCAGCTTTGAGCAGCCCTGGGCGAAGTGTTTATTGAAATGTGGAATTTTTTCTGGGTGCACTTCCCTATGTCCAGCTTAACAACAAGATGAGGGTGTTGATGGTCAGTTCTTGAGCTTCGAACGGGCAGAAAGTTGAGAAATTGTCGCTTTTTGCCCATTTGTGCCCACGTGTCACTTTCAACATACCTCTCTATAACATGACCCAGCTGTGATGTGAGTGGTCCCATTGATTTGATTTTTGGTTTGCTTGTGGGCCGCTGGCACCCGCATTCAGTAACGCCAAAATTTTGGTACTGCTAGGAATAGTTTAGTCGCAAAGTGAAGAATCACGGGCAAAAAGGCCCAAAACTTCGAGATAGTTTTATTTCAGCTTTGACCAGCCCTGGGCGAAGTGTTTATTGAAATGTGGAATCTTTTCTTGGTGCAGTTCCCTATGTCCAGCTAAACAACAAGATGAGGGTGGCGATGGTCAGTTCTTGAGCTTCGAACGGGCAGAAAGGTGAGAAATTGTCGCTTTTTGCCCATTTGTGCCCACGTGTCACTTTCAACATACCTCTCTATAACATGACCCAGCTGTGATGTGAGTGGTCGCATTGATTTGATTTTTGGTTTACTTGTAGGCCCCTGGCACTCGCATTCAGTGACGTTGAAATTTTGGCGCTGCTGTGAATAGTTTAGTCTCAAAGTGAAGAATCACGGGCAAAACGGCCCAAAACTTCGAGATAATTTTATATCAGCTTTGAGCAGCCCTGGGCGAAGTGTTTATTGAAATGTGGAATTTTTTCTTGGTGCACTTCCCTATGTCCAGCTAAACAACAAGGTGAGGGTGGCGATGGTCAGTTCTTGATCTTCGAACGGGCATAAAGGTGAGAAATTGTCGCTTTTTGCCCATTTGTGGCCACGTGTCACTTTCAACATACCTCTCTATAACATGACCCAGCTGTGATGTGAGTGGTCGCATTGATTTGATTTTTGGTTTGCTTGTAGGCCGCTTGCACCCGCATTGAGAAACGCCGAAATGTTGGCACTGCTGGGAATAGTTTAGTCGCAAAGTGAAGAATCACGGGCAAAAAGGCCCAAAACGTCGAGATAGTTTTATTTCAGCTTTGAGCAGCCCTGGGCGAAGTGTTTATTGAAATGTGGAATTTTTTCTTGGTGCACTTCCCTATGTCCAGCTAAACAACAAGATGAGGGTGGCGATGGTCAGTTCTTGAGCTTAGAACGGGCATAAAGGTGAGAAATTGTCGCTTTTTGCCCATTTGTGCCCACGTGTCACTTTCAACATACCTCTCTATAACATGACCCAGCTGTGATGTGAGTGGTCGCATTGATTTGATTTTTGGTTTGCTTGTAGGCCGCTGGCACCCGCATTCAGTAACGCCGAAATTTTGGCACTGCTGGGAATAGTTAAGTCGCAAAGTGAAGAATCACGGGCAAAAAGGCCCAAAACGTCGAGATAGTTTTATTTCAGCTTTGAGCAGCCCTGGGCGAAGTGTTTATTGAGATGTGGATTTTTTCTTGGTGCACTTCCCTATGTCCAGCTAAACAACAAGATGAGGGTGGCGATGGTCAGTTCTTGAGCTTCGAACAAGCAGAAAGGTGAGAAATTGTCGCTTTTTGCCCATTTGTGCCCACGTGTCACTTTCAACATACCTCTCTATAACATGACCCAGCTGTGATGTGAGTGGTCGCATTGATTTTATTTTTGGTTTGCTTGTAGGCCGCTGGGACTCGCATTCAGTAACGCCGAAATTTTGGCACTGCTTTGAATAGTTTAGTCGCCAAGTGAAGAATCACGGGCAAAAAGGCCCAAAACTTGGAGATAGTTTTATTTAAGCTTTGAGCAGCCCTGGGCGAAGTGTTTATTGAAATGTGGAATTTTTTCTTGGTGCACTTCCCTATGTCCAGCTACACAACAAGATGAGGGTGGCGATGGTCAGTTCTTGAGATTAGAACGGGCATAAAGGTGAGAAATTGTCGCTTTTTGGCCATTTGTGCCCACGTGTCACTTTCAACATACCTCTCTATAAATGACCCAGCTGTGATGTGAGTGGTCGCATTGATATGATTTTTGGTTTGCTTGTAGGCTGCTGGCACCCGCATTCAGTAACGCCGAAAGTTTGGCACTGCTGGGAATAGTTTAGTCGCAAAGTGAAGAATCACGGGCAAAAAGGCCCAAAACTTCGAGATGGTTTTATTTCAGCTTTGAGCAGCCCTGGGCGAAGTGTTTATTGAAATGTGGAATTTTTTCTTGGTGCAATTCCCTATGTCCAGCTAAACAACAAGATGAGGGTGGCGATGGTCAGTTCTTGAGCTTCGAACGGGCATAAAGGTGAGAAATTGTCGGTTTTTGCCCATTTGTGCCCACGTGTCACTTTCAACATACCTCTCTATAACATGACCCAGCTGTGATGTCAGTGGTCGCATTGATTTGATTTTCGGTTTGCTTGTAGGCCGCTGGCACCTGCATTCAGTAGTGCCGGTAATTTGGCACTGTTGTGAATAGTTTAGTCGCAAAGTGAAGAATCACGGGCAAAAAGGCCCAAAACGTCGAGATAGTTTTATTTCAGCTTTGAGCAGCCCTGGGCGAAGTGTTTATTGAAATGTGGAATTTTTCTTGGTGCACTTCCCTATGTCCAACTAAACAATAAGATGAGGGTGGCGATGGTCAGTTCTTGAGCTTTGAACGGGCAGAAAGGTGAGAAATTGTCGCTTTTTGCCCATTTGTGCCCACGTGTCACTTTCAACATACCTCTCTATAACATGACCCAGCTGTGATGTGAGTGGTCGCATTGATTTGATTTTGGTTTGCTTGTAGGCCGCTGGCACCCGCATTTAGTGACGCCAAAATTTTGGCACTGCTTTGAACAGTTTAGTCGGAAAGGTAAGAATCACGGGCAAAAAGGCCCAAAACTTCGAGATAGTTTTATTTCAGCTTTGACCAGCCCTGGGCGAAGTGTTTATTGAAATGTGGAATTTTTTCTTGGTGCACTTCCCTATGTCCAGCTAAACAACAAGATGAGGGTGGCGATGGTCAGTTCTTGAGCTTCAAACGAGCAAAAAGGTGAGAAATTGTCGCTTTTTGCCCATTTGTGCCCACGTGTCACTTTCAACATACCTCTCTATAACATGACCCAGCTGTGATGTGAGTGGTCGCATTGATTTTATTTTTGGTTTGCTTGTAGGCCGCTGGCACCCGCATTCAGTAACGCCGAAGTTTTGGCACTGCTTTGAATAGTTTAGTCGCCAAGTGAAGAATCACGGGCAAAAAGGCCCAAAACTTCGAGATAGTTTTATTTCAGCTTTGAGCAGCCCTGGGCGAATTGTTTATTGAAATGTGGAATTTTTTCTTGGTGCACTTCCCTATGTCTAGCTAAACAACAAGATGAGGGTGGCGATGGTCAGTTCTTGAGCTTAGAACGGGCATAAAGGTGAGAAATTGTCGCTTTTTGCCCATTTGTGCCCACGTGTCACTTTCAACATACCTCTCTATAACATGACCCAGCTGTGATGTGAGTGGTCACATTGATTTTATTTTTGGTTTGCTTGTAGGCCGCTGGCACCCGCATTTAGTGACGCCGAAATTTTGGCACTGCTTTGAATAGTTTAGTCGCCAGGTGAAGAATCACGGGCAAAAAGGCCCAAAACTTCGAGATAGTTTTATTTCAGCTTTGAGCAGCCCTGGGCGAAGTGTTTATTGAAATGTGGAATTTTTTCTTGGTGCACTTCCCTATGTCCAGCTAAACAACAAGATGAGGGTGGCGATGGTCAGTTCTTGAGCTTCAAACGAGCAAAAAGGTGAGAAATTGTCGCTTTTTGCCCATTTGTGCCCACGTGTCACTTTCAACATACCTCTCTATAACATGACCCAGCTGTGATGTGAGTGGTCGCATTGATTTTATTTTTGGTTTGCTTGTAGGCCGCTGGCACCCGCATTCAGTAACGCCGAAGTTTTGGCACTGCTTTGAATAGTTTAGTCGCCAAGTGAAGAATCACGGGCAAAAAGGCCCAAAACTTCGAGATAGTTTTATTTCAGCTTTGAGCAGCCCTGGGCGAATTGTTTATTGAAATGTGGAATTTTTTCTTGGTGCACTTCCCTATGTCTAGCTAAACAACAAGATGAGGGTGGCGATGGTCAGTTCTTGAGCTTAGAACGGGCATAAAGGTGAGAAATTGTCGCTTTTTGCCCATTTGTGCCCACGTGTCACTTTCAACATACCTCTCTATAACATGACCCAGCTGTGATGTGAGTGGTCACATTGATTTTATTTTTGGTTTGCTTGTAGGCCGCTGGCACCCGCATTTAGTGACGCCGAAATTTTGGCACTGCTTTGAATAGTTTAGTCGCCAGGTGAAGAATCACGGGCAAAAAGGCCCAAAACTTCGAGATAGTTTTATTTCAGCTTTGAGCAGCCCTGGGCGAAGTGTTTATTGAAATGTGGAATTTTTTCTTGGTGCACTTCCCTATGTCCAGCTTAACAACAAGATGAGGGTGGCGATGGTCAGTTCTTGAGCTTCGAACGGGCATAAAGGTGAGAAATTGTCACTTTTTGCCCATTTGTGCCCACGTGTCACTTTCAACATACCTCTCTATAAATGACCCAGCTGTGATGTGAGTGGTCGCATTGATATGATTTTTGGTTTGCTTGTAGGCTGCTGGCACCCGCATTCAGTAACGCCGAAAGTTTGGCACTGCTGGGAATAGTTTAGTCGCAAAGTGAAGAATCACGGGCAAAAAGGCCCAAAACTTCGAGATAATTTTATTTCAGCTTTGAGCAGCCCTGGGCGAAGTGTTTATTGAAATGTGGAATTTTTTCTTGGTGCACTTCCCTATGTCCAGCTAAACAACAAGATTAGGGTGGCGATGGTCAGTTCTTGAGCTTCAAACGAGCAAAAAGGTGAGAAATTGTCGCTTTTTGCCCATTTGTGCCCACGTGTCACTTTCAACATACCTCTCTATAACATGACCCAGCTGTGATGTGAGTGGTCGCATTGATTTGATTTTTGGTTTGCTTGTAGGCCGCTGGCACCCGCATTCAGTAACGCCGAAATTTTGGCACTGCTTTGAATAGTTTAGTCGCAAAGTGAAGAATCACGGGCAAAAAGGCCCAAAACGTCGAGATAGTTTTATTTCAGCTTTGAGCAGCCCTGGGCGAAGTGTTTATTGAAATGTGGAATTTTTCTTGGTGCACTTCCCTATGTCCAGCTAAACAACAAGATGAGGGTGGCGATGGTCAGTTCTTGAGCTTCGAACAAGCAGAAAGGTGAGAAATTGTCGCTTTTTGCCCATTTGTGCCCACGTGTCACTTTCAACATACCTCTCTATAACATGACCCAGCTGTGATGTGAGTGGTCGCATTGACTTTTTTTTTTGGTTTGCTTGTAGGCCGCTGGCACCCGCATTCAGTAACGCCGAAGTTTTGGCACTGCTTTGAATAGTTTAGTCGCCAAGTGAAGAATCACGGGCAAAAAGGCCCAAAACTTCGAGATAGTTTTATTTCAGCTTTGAGCAGCCCTGGGCGAAGTGTTTATTGAAATGTGGAATTTTTTCTTGGTGCACTTTCCTATGTCCAGCTAAACAACAAGATGAGGGTGGCGATGGTCAGTTCTTGAGCTTCAAACGAACAAAAAGGTGAGAAATTGTCGCTTTTTGCCCATTTGTGCCCACGTGTCACTTTCAACATACCTCTCTATAACATGACCCAGCTGTGATGTGAGTTGTCGCATTGATTTGATTTTTGGTTTGCTTGTAGGCCGCTGGCACCCGCATTCAGTAACGTCGAAATTTTGGCACTGCTGGGAATAGTTTAATCGCAAAGTGAAGAATCACGGGCAAAAAGGCCCAAAACGTCGAGATAGTTTTATTTCAGCTTTGAGCAGCCCTGGGCGAAGTGTTTATTGAAATGTGGAATTTTTTCTTGGTGCACTTCCCTATGTCCAGCTTAGGCCGCGGTCACACATGAAAAGCTTGCACCGCTTTTGCGGAGGCGGAAAGCGGAACTACCGCAGCCGCTTTGGCGAACACACGATGCAGCGGTCACACATACATGTAGACTACTGTGCTCCTCAACGGTCCGCTTTGGCGGAGAGAATGCAAATGCAGCACGTCCTATGAAATTTTAGATGTTCTTGTCCGAATTGAAGCGACCTTCGCTTGTACAAGTGGAGCTATCGTGGATCGCTGACAGGCTGCTGAATGTCTCCTGTCAAGTACACTCGTGGATTTGGGGCGCATTCACTGCGCCCAGTACAGGTGTATTTGAATATTACTAGTTTGGTTTACATCAATATCAAATTCAAATAGTTGTATAGCAGGGTGTCGTTGCCTCCTTCTTGTCCGAGTTGAAGCGACGTTCGCTTGTACAAGTAGAGCTATCGTGGATCGCTGACAGGCTGCCGAATGTTTCCTGTCAAGTACATTCGTGGATTTGGGGCACATTCACTGCGGCCCAGCACGGGTGTATTTGAATATTTATTTAGGTTAGTTTACATCAATATCAAATTCAAATAGTTTTATAGCAGTCGTTGCCTCCTCCATGATCCATCATCGACCCGGCGACTGCGTGGATGCCTGCAGTTGCAGTGAGGGTGTGGCAGACTACTCTACTACTCCCTAGTTGCAGTCCTAGTGTTGCATACTCTGGTGGACGTATTGCTTGGAGAGAGAAGGAGAGAGTTGGAGATCGTCCGCGATCGGGGCCAATGAGTTGGGAGACGGATTCCTTCACCAATTATCCACTCATAACGATGCAGTATTGTTTGCGAGATCTCCAGAACGTATAGTTCATTGGCAAAGAAGAACAATATGAAAACTGAAAACCAAACAGCAACCAAACAACACCAGAACTCAGTGCAGAAGTAGCACACCAAACTCCAAAGCCATCACCATGCAGGTTCCGCCAAAGTGGATCCGCGAAAGCGGAGGCTCCGCTCGCATTTTTTTGGCGTAGCGAAATCCAAACTTTCCGCCAAAGCGTAACTTACGCCTCCGCCGTTGCCGAGGCAACGGCGGAAGCGTAAGTTACGCTTTGGCGGAACCGCCAAAAAAAGTGCATGTGTGACCGGGGCCTAAACAACAAGATGAGGGTGGCGATGGTCAGTTCTTGAGCTTCGAACGGGCATAAAGGTGAGAAATTGTCGCTTTTTGCCCATTTGTGCCCACGTGTCACTTTCAACATACCTCTCTATAAATGACCCAGCTGTGATGTGAGTGGTCGCATTGATATGATTTTTGGTTTGCTTGTAGGCTGCTGGCACCCGCATTCAGTAACGGTGAAAGTTTGGCACTGCTGGGAATAGTTTAGTCACAAAGTGAAGAATCACGGGCAAAAAGGCCCAAAACTTCGAGATAGTTTTATTTCAGCTTTGAGCAGCCCTGGACGAAGTGTTTATTGAAATGTGGAATTTTTTCTTGGTGCAATTCCCTATGTCCAGCTAAACAACAAGATGAGGGTGGCGATGGTCAGTTCTTGAGCTTCGAACGGGCATAAAGGTGAGAAATTGTCAGTTTTTGCCCATTTGTGCCCACATGTCACTTTCAACATACCTCTCTATAACATGACCCAGCTGTGATGTGAGTGGTCGCATTGATTTGATTTTCGGTTTGCTTGTAGGCCTCTGGCACCTGCATTCAGTAATGCCGGAAATTTGGCACTGTTGTGAATAGTTTAGTCGCAAAGTGAAGAATCACGGGCAAAAAGGCCCAATACGTCGAGATAGTTTTATTTCAGCTTTGACCAGCCCTGGGCGAAGTGTTTATTGAAATGTGGAATTTTTTCTTGGTGCACTTCCCTATGTCCAGCTAAACAACAAGATGAGGGTGGCGATGGTCAGTTCTTGAGCTTAGAACGGGCATAAAGGTGAGAAATTGTCGCTTTTTGCCCATTTGTGCCCACGTGTCACTTTCAACATACCTCTCTATAACATGACCCAGCTGTGATGTGAGTGGTCACATTGATTTTATTTTTGGTTTGCTTGTAGGCCGCTGGCACCCGCATTTAGTGACGCCGAAATTTTGGCACTGCTTTGAATAGTTTAGTCGCAAAGCGAAGAGTCACGGGCAAAAAGGCCCAAAACTTCGAGATAGTTTTATTTCAGCTTTGAGCAGCCCTGGGCGAAGTGTTTATTGAAATGTGGAATTTTTTCTTGGTGCACTTCCCTATGTCCAGCTAAACAACAAGATGAGGGTGGCGATGGTCAGTTCTTGAGCTTCGAACGGGCATAAAGGTCAGAAATTGTCGCTTTTTGCCCATTTGTGCCCACGTGTCACTTTCAACATACCTCTCTATAAATGACCCAGCTGTGATGTGAGTGGTCGCATTGATATGATTTTTGGTTTGCTTGTAGGCTGCTGGCACCCGCATTCAGTAACCCCGAAAGTTTGGCACTGCTGGGAATAGTTTAGTCGCAAAGTGAAGAATCACGGGCAAAAAGGCCCAAAACTTCGAGATAGTTTTATTTCAGCTTTGAGCAGCCCTGGGCGAAGTGTTTATTGAAATGTGAGCCCCGGCCAGCGAAAACCAGCACTTGTGTACTTGATATCAATCATCAAAATGTGACGTCAAAGTTTGGGACGCGCAGTGAGCTGGCTTTTGAAGATTCTTTTTCGATCGAGTGGGTGTCTTTGTTGTCAAAGGAGTTTCAAGTGTCTTCAAATGTCTCTGGTCAATTGATTTTAGCGCTAGGTGAGAGCTCGTCACACGGAGGTTGAGTTTAGACACAGCGATGGCGACAGGTGTCGCGACAAGGACTTAGGTCCAGAGTTGTCAGCATGAGACTCCCTGTACGAAGCGGTGCTGAAAGTTAGGTCGCGATCGGAATTATTTCTTTGGTGGCGACCTCGCTGAGTTTGTCCAGCAGTGGCAAGTCTCATATGCATAGCAATGAAGAGCCCTCATAAAATCGACACTGGATACTGATGGCGACGATAGTCAGTGCTGGAGTAATAGCGACTGCGGGGAGAAGCTGAATGTCGACCCGCTGAGCGATCCGTATTTCTACATCGACAACAATGATGTTCCAGACACTGATGGAGGGCTTCTCACGGCGCAAAACAGAGCGTAGTATTATCAGTACTCTACCTTGCCAGACGACGCCAAGCTGGCTGCTGCCTGTGCTGAGAAAGGCGATCCCTAAAAAGTCAAACCGGCTGAACGCTTTGGGGCAACATCTTCACGTGCTACAAAACGCGAATATTCGCTCATATCATTGAAATACAATTATGCTGAAATCATGGTCTGAGTGAAAGTGTGCAAGGGAGTGGATGTCAGTGGTATTGGTCAGTACATCTATCAGTATGGCAAGCTTTGGGACAACGCTCAAGCTGCCAGCACAGAGGTCCCTGAACACAATTTGGAAGGCCAGCCACCAATCATCGTTTTGCACTCTGGTGTTGTAAAGAAGGTAGTGGTGTATACGGAATATCGTCACACTTCTGAACTACTCATGCCTGCAGCACCAAGAGGGCAAGCCTGACTTGCATTCTATTTACTTACATGTACCTGTTCCACATCACAATCAGAAACTGTAGGATCAACTTGCATGGAGTTACTGGGCATGGATGCTGCGCCAACTGTACCGAATCTTGACCTGTGTGACTTCAAACTCTATTTTCCATGCTTTCGCTCATCAGATTGTCACCAAACTTGATAACTTGAATGATTAAAGGGGAAGTTAAGGCAAAAATTAAAATTTCACCAGTTGTAGTCTTCGGGGTGCTGAGTCGAATGGTCTTGGTCCGAGAAAGCTGAGACGCTCCCTTCCTACTTGAATCCCAATCGAACTCGCGCACTTCCACCGAAACTGGGTGACTGCGCCCTACGAGATGGGGATTTGTATGCAAAATGTCACTAAAAGCGCCATTTCGTTCTTATAAAAGCACGGATGACCGCGATTGGCCCATATGTTGTAGTCTTTTGGACGCTGAGTCGACTGGTTTTGGTCCGAAAAGGCTGCGATGCAGCGTTCCGCCTTTATTCCCAATCGAACATGGTTGAACAAGCGGTCACGTGCTCCTGCGTACACCAGTCATCTGGTCACCGTGCCTGCAGGGTACAACTTACAGCCTGTTTTGACCTTTTTTGGGTGCAGTCCTGTCACTCGAGTTGAACCTTGGTGTGAAAGTTGTCGCCTGCTGGCGTGGTGACCAGGTGATTTTGGCACCCAGGAGCACGTGACCACTTCTTCAACCATGTTCGATTGGGAATAAAGGAGGAACGCTACATCGCAGCCTTTTCGGACCAAAACCAGTCGACTCAGCGTCCAAAAGACTACAACATATGGGCCAATCGCGGTCATCCGTGCTTTTATAAGAGCGAAATGGCGCTTTTAGTGAGATTTTGCATACAAATCCCCATCTCGTAGGGCGCAGTCACCCAGTTTCGGTGGAAGTGCGCGAGTTCGATTGGGATTCAAGTAGGAAGGGAGCGTCTCAGCTTTTTCGGACCAAGACCATTCGACTCAGCACCCCGAAGACTACAACTGGTGAAATTTTGATTTTTGCCTTAACTTCCCCTTTAATAGTGTAGAATCAATTTCGAGCGAAAAAATAATTTTTGAAAAATTACACATGTTCAGGTTTCTGCTGGCTGGGGCTCATGTGGAATTTTTTCTTGGTGCAATTCCCTATGTCCAGCTAAACAACAAGATGAGGGTGGCGATGGTCAGTTCTTGAGCTTAGAACGGGCATAAAGGTGAGAAACTGTCGCTTTTTGCCCATTTGTGCCCACGTGTCACTTTCAACATACCTCTCTATAACATGACCCAGCTGTGATGTCAGTGGTCGCATTGATTTGATTTTCGGTTTGCTTGTAGGCCTCTGGCACCTGCATTCAGTAATGCCGGAAATTTGGCACTGTTGTGAATAGTTTAGTCGCAAAGTGAAGAATCACGGGCAAAAAGGCCCAATACGTCGAGATAGTTTTATTTCAGCTTTGACCAGCCCTGGGGGAAGTGTTTATTGAAATGTGGAATTTTTTCTTGGTGCACTTCCCTATGTCCAGCTAAACAACAAGATGAGGGTGGCGATGGTCAGTTCTTGAGCTTCAAACGAGCAAAAAGGTGAGAAATTGTCGCTTTTTGCCCATTTGTGCCCACGTGTCACTTTCAACATACCTCTCTATAACATGACCCAGCTGTGATGTGAGTGGTCGCATTGATTTGATTTTTGGTTTGCTTGTAGGCTGCTGGCACCCGCATTCAGTAACGCCGAAATTTTGGCACTGCTTTGATTAGTTTAGTCGCAAAGTGAAGAATCACGGGCAAAAAGGCCCAAAACTTCGAGATAGTTTTATTTCAGCTTTGAGCAGCCCTGGGCGAAGTGTTTATTGAAATGTGGAATTTTTTCTTGGTGCAATTCCCTATGTCCAGCTAAACAACAAGATGAGGGTGGCGATGGTCAGTTCTTGAGCTTCGAACGGGCATAAAGGTGAGAAATTGTCGGTTTTTGCCCATTTGTGCCCACGTGTCACTTTCAACATACCTCTCTATAACATGACCCAGCTGTGATGTCAGTGGTCGCATTGATTTTATTTTCGGTTTGCTTGTAGGCCTCTGGCACCTGCATTCAGTAATGCCGGAAATTTGGCACTGTTGTGAATAGTTTAGTCGCAAAGTGAAGAATCACGGGCAAAAAGGCCCAATACGTCGAGATAGTTTTATTTCAGCTTTGACCAGCCCTGGGCGAAGTGTTTATTGAAATGTGGAATTTTTTCTTGGTGCACTTCCCTATGTCCAGCTAAACAACAAGATGAGGGTGGCGATGGTCAGTTCTTGAGCTTCAAACGAGCAAAAAGGTGAGAAATTGTCGCTTTTTGCCCATTTGTGCCCACGTGTCACTTTCAACATACCTCTCTATAACATGACCCAGCTGTGATGTGAGTGGTCGCATTGATTTGATTTTTGGTTTGCTTGTAGGCCGCTGGCACCCGCATTCAGTAACGCCGAAATTTTGGCACTGCTTTGAATAGTTTAGTCGCAAAGTGAAGAATCACGGGCAAAAAGGCCCAAAACGTCGAGATAGTTTTATTTCAGCTTTGAGCAGCCCTGGGCGAAGTGTTTATTGAGATGTGGAATTTTTCTTGGTGCACTTCCCTATGTCCAGCTAAACAACAAGATGAGGGTGGCGATGGTCAGTTCTTGAGCTTCGAACAAGCAGAAAGGTGAGAAATTGTCGCTTTTTGCCATTTGTGCCCACGTGTCACTTTCAACATACCTCTCTATAACATGACCCAGCTGTGATGTGAGTGGTCGCATTGATTTTATTTTTGGTTTGCTTGTAGGCCGCTGGCACCCGCATTCAGTAACGCCGAAATTTTGGCACTGCTTTGATTAGTTTAGTCGCAAAATGAAGAATCACGGGCAAAAAGGCCCAAAACTTCGAGATAGTTTTATTTCAGCTTTGAGCAGCCCTGGGCGAAGTGTTTATTGAAATGTGGAATTTTTTCTTGGTGCACTTCCCTATGTCCAGCTAAACAACAAGATGAGGGTGGCGATGGTCAGTTCTTGAGCTTCGAACGGGCATAAAGGTGAGAAATTGTCGCTTTTTGCCCATTTGTGCCCACGTGTCACTTTCAACATACCTCTCTATAACATGACCCAGCTGTGATGTGAGTGGTCGCATTGCTATGATTTTTGGTTTGCTTGTAGGCTGCTGGCACCCGCATTCAGTAACGCCGAAAGTTTGGCACTGCTGGGAATAGTTTAGTCGCAAAGTGAAGAATCACGGGCAAAAAGGCCCAAAACTTCGAGATAGTTTTATTTCAGCTTTGAGCAGCCCTGGGCGAAGTGTTTATTGAAATGTGGAATTTTTTCTTGGTGCAATTCCCTATGTCCAGCTAAACAACAAGATGAGGGTGGCGATGGTCAGTTCTTGAGCTTCGAACGGGCAAAAAGGTGAGAAATTGTCGCTTTTTGCCCATTTGTGCCCACGTGTCACTTTCAACATACCTCTCTATAACATGACCCAGCTGTGATGTCAGTGGTCGAATTGATTTGATTTTTGGTTTGCTTGTAGGCCTCTGGCACCTGCATTCAGTAATGCCGGAAATTTGGCACTGTTGTGAATAGTTTAGTCGCAAAGTGAAGAATCACGGGCAAAAAGGCCCAATACGTCGAGATAGTTTTATTTCAGCTTTGACCAGCCCTGGGCGAAGTGTTTATTGAAATGTGGAATTTTTTCTTGGTGCACTTCCCTATGTCCAGCTAAACAACAAGATGAGGGTGGCGATGGTCAGTTCTTGAGCTTCAAACGAGCAAAAAGGTGAGAAATTGTCGCTTTTTGCCCATTTGTGCCCACGTGTCACTTTCAACATACCTCTCTATAACATGACCCAGCTGTGATGTGAGTGGTCGCATTGATTTGATTTTTGGTTTGCTTGTAGGCCGCTGGCACCCGCATTCAGTAACGCTGAAATTTTGGCACTGCTTTGATTAGTTTAGTCGCAAAGTGAAGAATCACGGGCAAAAGGCCCAAAACTTCGAGATAGTTTTATTTCAGCTTTGAGCAGCCCTGGGCGAAGTGTTTATTTAAATGTGGAATTTTTTCTTGGTGCACTTCCCTATGTCCAGCTAAACAACAAGTGGAGGGTGGCGATGGTCAGTTCTTGAGCTTCGAACGGGCATAAAGGTGAGAAATTGTCGCTTTTTGCCCATTTGTGCCCACGTGTCACTTTCAACATACCTCTCTATAAATGACCCAGCTGTGATGTGAGTGGTCGCATTGCTATGATTTTTGGTTTGCTTGTAGGCTGCTGGCACCCGCATTCAGTAACGCCGAAAGTTTGGCACTGCTGGGAATAGTTTAGTCGCAAAGTGAAGAATCACGGGCAAAAAGGCCCAAAACTTCGAGATAGTTTTATTTCAGCTTTGAGCAGCCCTGGGCGAAGTGTTTATTGAAATGTGGAATTTTTTCTTGGTGCAATTCCCTATGTCAAGCTAAACAACAAGATGAGGGTGGCGATGGTCAGTTCTTGAGCTTCGAACGGGCATAAAGGTGAGAAATTGTCGCTTTTTGCCCATTTGTGCCCACGTGTCACTTTCAACATACCTCTCTATAACATGACCCAGCTGTGATGTCAGTGGTCGAATTGATTTGATTTTTGGTTTGCTTGTAGGCCTCTGGCACCTGCATTCAGTAATGCCGGAAATTTGGCACTGTTGTGAATAGTTTAGTCGCAAAGTGAAGAATCACGGGCAAAAAGGCCCAATACGTCGAGATAGTTTTATTTCAGCTTTGACCAGCCCTGGGCGAAGTGTTTATTGAAATGTGGAATTTTTTCTTGGTGCACTTCCCTATGTACAGCTAAACAACAAGATGAGGGTGGCGATGGTCAGTTCTTGAGCTTCAAACGAGCAAAAAGGTGAGAAATTGTCGCTTTTTGCCCATTTGTGCCCACGTGTCACTTTCAACATACCTCTCTATAACATGACCCAGCTGTGATGTGAGTGGTCGCATTGATTTGATTTTTGGTTTGCTTGTAGGCCGCTGGTACCCGCATTCAGTAACGCCGTAATTTTGGCACTGCTTTGAATAGTTTAGTCGCAAAGTGAAGAATTACGGGCAAAAAGGCCCAAAACGTCGAGATAGTTTTATTTCAGCTTTGAGCAGCCCTGGGCGAAGTGTTTATTCAGATGTGGAATTTTTCTTGGTGCACTTCCCTATGTCCAGCTAAACAAAAGAATGAGGGTGGCGATGGTCAGTTCTTGAGCTTGGAACAAGCAGAAAGGTGAGAAATTGTCGCTTTTTGCCATTTGTGCCCACGTGTCACTTTCAACATACCTCTCTATAACATGACCCAGCTGTGATGTGAGTGGTCGCATTGATTTGATTTTTGGTTTGCTTGTAGGCCGCTGGCACCCGCATTCAGTAACGCCGAAATTTTGGCACTGCTTTGATTAGTTTAGTCGCAAAGTGAAGAATCACGGGCAAAAGGCCCAAAACTTCGAGATAGTTTTATTTCAGCTTTGAGCAGCCCTGGGCGAAGTGTTTATTTAAATGTGGAATTTTTTCTTGGTGCACTTCCCTATGTCCAGCTAAACAACAAGTGGAGGGTGGCGATGGTCAGTTCTTGAGCTTCGAACGGGCATAAAGGTGAGAAATTGTCGCTTTTTGCCCATTTGTGCCCACGTGTCACTTTCAACATACCTCTCTATAAATGACCCAGCTGTGATGTGAGTGGCCGCATTGCTATGATTTTTGGTTTGCTTGTAGGCTGCTGGCACCCGCATTCAGTAACGCCGAAAGTTTGGCACTGCTGGGAATAGTTTAGTCGCAAAGTGAAGAATCACGGGCAAAAAGGCCCAAAACTTCGAGATAGTTTTATTTCAGCTTTGAGCAGCCCTGGGCGAAGTGTTTATTGAAATGTGGAATTTTTTCTTGGTGCAATTCCCTACGTCCAGCTAAACAACAAGATGAGGGTGGCGATGCACAGTTCTTGAGCTTCGAACGGGCATAAAGGTGAGAAATTGTCGCTTTTTGCCCATTTGTGCCCACGTGTCACTTTCAACATACCTCTCTATAACATGACCCAGCTGTGATGTCAGTGGCCCATTGATTTGATTTTTGGTTTGCTTGTAGGCCTCTGGCACCTGCATTCAGTAATGCCGGAAATTTTGCACTGTTGTGAATAGTTTAGTCGCAAAGTGAAGAATCACGGGCAAAAAGGCCCAATACGTCGAGATAGTTTTATTTCAGCTTTGACCAGCCCTGGGCGAAGTGTTTATTGAAATGTGGAAATTTTTCTTGGTGCACTTCCCTATGTCCAGCTAAAAATCAAGATGAGGGTGGCGATGGTCAGTTCTTGAACTTCAAACGAGCAAAAAGGTGAGAAATTGTCGCTTTTTGCCCATTTGTGCCCACGTGTCACTTTCAACATACCTCTCTATAACATGACCCCGCTGTGATGTGAGTGGTCGCATTGATTTGATTTTTCGTTTGCTTGTAGGCCGCTGGCACCCGCATTCAGTAACGCCGAAATTTTGGCACTGCTTTGAATAGTTTAGTCGCAAAGTGAAGAATCACGGGCAAAAAGGCCCAAAACGTCGAGATAGTTTTATTTCAGCTTTGAGCAGCCCTGGGCGAAGTGTTTATTGAGATGTGGAATTTTTCTTGGTGCACTTCCCTATGTCCAGCTAAACAACAAGATGAGGGTGGCGATGGTCAGTTCTTGAGCTTCGAACAAGCAGAAAGGTGAGAAATTGTCGCTTTTTGCCTATTTGTGCCCACGTGTCACTTTCAACATACCTCTCTATAACATGACCCAGCTGTGATGTGAGTGGTCGCATTGATTTTATTTTTGGTTTGCTTGTAGGCCGCTGGCACCCGCATTCAGTAACGCCGAAATTTTGGCACTGCTTTGATTAGTTTAGTCGCAAAGTGAAGAATCACGGGCAAAAAGGCCCAAAACTTCGAGATAGTTTTATTTCAGCTTTGAGCAGCCCTGGGCGAAGTGTTTATTGAAATGTGGAATTTTTCTTGGTGCACTTCCCTATGTCCAGCTAAACAACAAGATGAGGGTGGCGATGGTCAGTTCTTGAGCTTCGAACGGGCAAAAAGGTGAGAAATTGTCGCTTTTTGCCCATTTGTTCCCACGTGTCACTTTCAACATACCTCTCTATAACATGACCCAGCTGTGATGTGAGTGGTCGCATTGATATGATTTTTGGTTTGCTTGTAGGCCGCTGGCACCCGCATTCAGTAACGCTGAAAGTTTGGCACTGCTGGGAATAGTTTAGTCGCAAAGTGAAGAATCACGGGCAAAAAGGCCCAAAACTTCGAGATAGTTTTTTTTCAGCTTTGAGCAGCCCTGGGCGAAGTTTTATTGAAATGTGGAATTTTTTCTTGGTGCAATTCCCTATGTCCAGCTAAACAACAAGATGAGGGTGGCGATGGTCAGTTCTTGAGCTTGGAACGGGCATAAAGGTGAGAAATTGTCACTTTTTGCCCATTTGTGCCCACGTGTCACTTTCAACATACCTCTCTATAACATGACCCAGCTGTGATGTGAGTGGTCGCATTGATTTGATTTTCAGTTTGCTTGTAGGCCGCTGGCACCCGCATTCAGTAATGCTGGAAATTTGGCACTGTTGTGAATAGTTTAGTCGCAAAGTGACGAATCACGTGCAAAAAGGCCCAAAACTTCGAGGTAGCTTGATTTCAGCTTTGAGCAGCCCTGGGCGAAGTGTTTATTGAAATGTGGAATTTTTTCTTGGTGCACTTCCCTATGTCCAGCTAAACAACAAGAAGAGGGTGGCGATGGTCAGTTTTTGAGCTTGGAACGGGCAGAAAGGTGAGAAATTGTCCCTTTTTGCCCATTTGTGCCCACGTGTCACTTTCAACATACCTCTCTATAACATGACCTAGCTGTGATTTGAGTGGTCGCATTGATATGATTTTTGGTTTGCTTGTAGGCCGCTGGCACCCGCATTCAGTAACGCCGGAAATTTGGCACAGTTGTGAATAGTTTAGTCGCAAAGTGAAGAATCACGGGCAAAAAGGCCGAAACTTCGAGGTAGCTTGATTTCAGCTTTGAGCAGCCCTGGGCGAAGTGTTTATTGAAATATGGAATTTTTTCTTGGTGCACTTCCCTATGTCCAGCTAAACAACCAGATGAGGGTGGCGATGGTCAGTTCTTGAACTTCGAACGGGCAGAAAGGTGAGAAATTGTCGCTTTTTGCACATTTGTGCCCACGTGTCACTTTCAACATACCTCTCTATACCATGACCCAGCTGTGATGTCAGTGGTCGCATTGATTTGATTTTTGGTTTGCTTGTAGGCCGCTGGCTCCCGCATTCACTGGCGCCGAAATTTTGGCAGTGCTGTGAATAGTTTAGTCGCAAAGTGAAGAATCACGGGCAAAAGACCCAAAACTTGGAGATAGTTATATTTCAGCTTTGAGTAGCCCTGGGCGAAGTGTTTATTGAAATGTGGAATTTTTTCTTGGTGCACTTCCCTATGTCCAGCTAAACAACAAGCTGAGGGTGGCGATGGTCAGTTCTTGAGCTTCGAACGGGCATAAAGGTGAGAAATTGTCGCTTTTTGCACATTTGTGCCCACGTGTCACTTTCAACATACCTCTCTATAACATGACCCAGCTGTGATATGAGTGGTCGCATTGATTTTATTTCTGGTTTGCTTGTAGGCCGCTGGCACCCGCATTCAGTAACGCTGAAATTTTGGCACTACTGGGAATAGTTTAGTTGAGAAGTGAAGAATCACCGGCAAAAAGGCCCAAAACTTCGAGATAGTTTTATTTCAGCTTTGAGCAGCCCTGGGCGAAGTGTTTATTGAAATGTGGAAATTTTCTTGGTGCACTTCCCTATGTCCAGCTAAACAACAAGATGAGGGTGGCGATGGTCAGTTCTTGAGCTTTGAACGGGCAGAAAGGTGAGAAATTGTCGCTTTTTGCCCATTTGTGCCCACGTGTCACTTTCAACATATCTCTCTATAACATGACCCAGCTGTGATTTGAGTGTTCGCATTGATTTGATTTTTGGTTTGCTTGTAGGCCGCTGGCACCCGCATTCAGTAACGCTGAAATTTTGGCACTGCTGGGAATAGTTTAGTCGCAAAGTGAAGAATCACGGGCAAAAAGGCCCAAAACTTCGAGATAGTTCTATTTCAGCTTTGAGCAGCCCTGGGCAAAGTGTTTATTGAAATGTGGAATTTTTCTTGGTGCACTTCCCTATGTCCAGCTAAACAACAAGATGAGGGTGGCGATGGTCAGTTCTTGAGCTTCGAACGGGCATAAAGGTGAGAAATTGTCGCTTTTTGCACATTTGTGGCCAAGTGTCACTTTCAACATACCTCTCTATAACATGACCTAGCTGTGATTTGAGTGGTCGCATTGATTTGATTTTTGGTTTGCTTGTAGGCCGCTGGCACCCGCATTCAGTTACGCTGAAATGTTGGCACTGCTGGGAATAGTTTAGTGGCAAAGTGAAGAATCACGGGCAAAAAGGCCCAAAACGTCGAGATACTTTCATTTCAGCTTTGAGCAGCCCTGGGCGAAGTGTTTATTGAAATGTGGAATTTTTTCCTGGTGCACTTCCCTTTGTCCAGCTAAACAACCAGATGAGGGTGGGGATGGTCAGTTCTTGAGCTTCGAACGGGCAGAAAGGTGAGAAATTGTCGCTTTTTGCCCATTTGTGCCCACGTGTCACTTTCAACATACCTCTCTATAACATGACCCAGCTGTGATATGAGTGGTCGCATTGATTTGATTTTTGGTTTGCTTGTAGGCCGCTGCCACCCAGATTCAGTGACGGCGAAAATTTGGCACTGCTGTGAATAGTTTAGTCACCATAGCCAGCAATCGCATGTCATCACGTTCATTGAAAATCAACATAATTTTGCGAATCGACCTTTTTTTCAGGATCACTTTTCAACGAGGACGAAGCAAAGTCGGCCGAACGAAGCCTAGAGGAAGAAAATCACCCTCTCCACTTCACCATCACGATACTGACATAGATACGAGATGAAACAACTAAAAAATCCACAAGAAAACTGTACGGCCATCAGACTTTGGTCTCAGAATTTTTATCACGATCAAAAATGTACGAGGAGCTCTCAAAAATAAGCCACAGACGTACCTTTATCGCTCTCTACTCCTTTTTCAAGGCACAAAAGTCGACTCTCCACTTTCAAGCCAGGAACCAGACATACCAGTGGTCCTTTTCAACTGCTCCACGAGCGCAGGAAATGTTCACCAAGGGGCGCAGAGCAGCATCCATTCCAGAAAAAGAGCTAAAATACGAGTGAGACTGCATGCCTGAGTACATGGGTACATGTATGAGTACATGCAGAAAATAGTCAATTTCAGCGTTTCTGCTCCAAACAGCAACTAGCTTCGACTAGAAACAAAGATTACACCAAAGGATCAAACAACAACCATTTTCTGCAGTTTTTTTGCAGATGGCTTCCTTGTGCTTGGCCCAGCACGCCAAAAATAAAAATCTGAAAGTGAAGAATCACGAGCAAAAAGGCCCAAAACTTCGAGATAGTTTGATATCAGCTTTGAGTACCCCTCGGCGAGTTGTTTATTGAAATGTGGAATTTTTTCTTGGTGCACTTCCCTATGTCCAGCTAAACAACAAGATTAGGGTGGCGATGGTTAGTTCTTGAGCTTCGAACGGGCAGAAAGGTGAGAAATTGTCGCTTTTTGCCCATTTGTGCCCACGTGTCACTTTCAATCACGGGCAAAAAGGCCCAAAACTTCGAGATAGTTTGATTTCAGCTTTGAGCAGCCCTGGGCGAAGTGTTTATAGAAATGTGGAATTTTTTCTTGGTGCAGTTCCCCATGTCCACCTACACAACAAGATCAGGGTGGCGATAGTCAGTTCTTGAACTTCAAACGGGCAGAAAGGTGAGAAATTGTGGCTTTTTGACCATTTGTGCCCACGTGTCACTTTCAACGTACCTCTCTATAACATGACCCGGCTGTAATGTGAGTGATCGCATTGATTTGATTTTTGGTTTGCTTGTAGGCCGCTGGCACCCGCATTGGGTGGCGCCGAAAATTTGGCACTGCTGTGAATAGTTTAGTGCCAAAGTGAAGAATCACGGGCAAAAAGGCCCAAAACTTCGAGATAATTTGATTTCCCCTTTGAGAAGCCCTGGGCGAAGTGTTTATTGAAATGTGGAATTTTTTCTTGGTTCACTTCCCTATGTCCAGCTAAACAACAAGATGAGGGTGGCGATGGTCAGTTCTTGAGCTTCGAATGGGCAGAAAGGTGAGAAATTGTCGCTTTTTGCCTATTTGTGCCCCCGTGTCACTTTCAACGTACCTCTCTATAACATGACCCAGTTGTGATGTGAGTGGTCGCATTGATTTGATTTTTGGTTGGCTTGTAAGCGCTGAGACCCGCATTGAGTGGCGCCGAAAATTTGGCACTGCTGCGAATAGTTTAGTCGCAAAGTGAAGAATCACGGGCAAAAGGCCCAAAACTTCGAGAGTTTGATTTCAGTTTCAGCAGCCCTGGGCGAGTTGTTTATTGAAATGTGGCATTTTTTCTTGGTGCACTTCCCTATGTTCAGGTTTACAATAAGATCAGGGTGGCGATTGTCAGTTCTTGAGCTTCGAACGGGCAGAAATGTAGAAATTGTCGCTTTTTGACCATTTGTGCCCACGTGTCACTTTCAACGTAGCTCTCTATAACATGACCCGGCTGTGATGTGAGTGATCGCATTGATTTGATTTTTGGTTTTCTTGTAGGCTGCTGGCACCTTCAGTCGGTGCCGCCTAAAATTTGGCACTGCTGTGAATAGTTTAGTCGAAAAGTGAAGAATCACGGGCAAAAAGGCCCAAAACTGGGAGATTGGTTCTTTTCAGTATTCAGCAGCCATGAACGAGTTGTTTATTGAAATGTGGCATTTTTCTTTGTTACACTTCCCTTTGTCCAGCTATACAACAAGGTCAGGGTGGCGATGGTATGTCGGTCAGCTTGGAACGGGCAGAAAGGTGAGAAATTGTCGCTTTTTGCCCATTTGTGCCCACGTGTCACTTTCAACGTACCTCTCTATAACATGACCCGCCTGTGATGTGAGTGATCGCATCGATTTGGGCATTAGGTAATTTTAGTACAGTAGAGTACAGTAGAGTCGCGCGACGAAGAACGTCGAGCCCAAGAACGTCCTGCATGAAATGCTGAGAACGCCACAGCCTAAAGATAAGAATTGCGGTGTTGGTTTTCCGGCGCCTTTTCGGGTAGATATGATCCAGTACGAATTGTTTCCTAGAACGTGGTATAAGAACGCAGCCAGATTGCCTAACAAAATAAGAACGCCCGGACCAACCCCTTGGAAACAACGTTCTTGGACGCGCGACTCTTCTGTAATAGGAAGATATATGTAGCTCATTGCCATGTGCGATGTGTGTGTGTGTGTGTGTGTGTGTTTGTGTGTTTGTGTGTGTGTGTGTGTGTGTGTGTGTTTGTGTGTTTGTGTGTGTGTGTGTGTGTGTGTGTGTGTGTGTGTGTGTGTGTGTGTGTCTTGTTCGCTATCGTTGCTATAAGAGAACATCTGTGGGTGCACATCCAGTGCATTTGCAGATTTGGGTGCTTCTCTTGCGACGGGCGTATACATGGTACATGGTGCATGGTGTTTGTGTGTGTGTGTGGATGTGTAAGTAAGTAAGTGAGCATGTCTGAGAATACCAAAGTATGTGTGCAAGTGGATCTCTCCGATTTCGCTCAAAATGTGCAGGTAGGTTCCCTTTGGGGTGTGGATCGATTGTGCAAAGCCCTTGAAAAAGTCTCTGAAGGGAACCTTGAAATTTGCATACCCTCAAAATGGCCGAAATATCACATTATTTATGGGTCTAGATAGGAGTCACGACACAGAGTATACGAACAAGTTACGAAGAAAACTCCATCAAGCCAACATTGCCTCACATTAGAAGAGTTCCTGGAGCAGTACCGCTTAGCCACGCCAGGATCCCAGAAGACGAGGTCCATCACCCCTGACGCCACAAATGATCGTCTTGAAAATAGCCAATTTACAAGCGCTGGCAAAACAGCCAGCTACGTCCTCAATTGGCCAGAACTATACACCGGCAGATAGTAGAACACCTCTTCTAGCGCTGAGGACATGTCCCCCATCTTCCTTTTGGGGTTTTCTTGAAATAAACTTTTTTGAATTTTTCCACTCCACCATCCTGAAATGCGGCCAAAGTCATACCTGCGCAGGAAAGCTCGCCCCTCCGCGACGTCTCCTCAGCAATTTATACTCCAACACTACTCCCAAGGCCGCAGAACAAAGTGTATTTTTGGCTCGGACAAGCTTCTGCTAGCTTGCGCCACCAATAATTATCTGTGCGACTGTTGATGCAAAAGTGACTGAAGGCATGAGCGCAATTCGTGAATTAATTATTTATTTTACTACAAGAGGCACAGTGAAATCACGTGCCTTGTGACGCAAGAATGCCAAGTCGCGTGGATCACGGCTCACGAGATTTCAGAGTCACCTTCGTCAAGTGCAATAAGTCTTGTTACTCGCCTTGAACGCCCGTTGGTCTGGAAGTAGGCCCCGGTGTAATATGCCCGAAACTTTGCCGAAAATGCTTTTGGGAAATTCTCGTAAACCTTGCCGAAAATGCTCCCAAACCTTGCCGAAAATGCTCGGAAAATGCTCACGTTTTTTGTCACCCTCGGCACACGCCGTCAAAACCAGGGAGTCAGAAAATACTCAATATGAGACTTGCTCGAGTCTGCCATGGTAAACAATTCATAAACTACTCAACAAGAAGCTTACCCACGGAATGCGGAAGTGACGTTCTTCTTTGGGAAGTTTTTCTTGATACACAACGGCTAAGTGCTCTGTTTCCCCCAAAATGCTGCATCACGAGCCCAAAGTGCTGGGTTCGTGGATTGTACCGAAAATGCTCCAAAAAATGCCGGCATATTACACGGGGGCCTATCTGGAAGTGATCACATTTTGTGTTGTTACTTCGTTCCAGAACACGCTGACCGTGTTGTAGCCTTGTACTTGTAGGCCTACGAACTGGGACTTTCCCTGACCATGTAGGTCGAAGACCAGTGAAATGATGATGAAATCACATTCTTTATGACGTAAGAAATCTCTCATGCAGTTCACGCAACAAGTCCGTGCAGCCAGTGCTGCTTGCGTGCCAGTCAACACAAAGCTACCTACCGAGCTAGCAGCTTTTGTCGAGCATCGACATGAAAACAAGGGACTTTTACTGTTGGACTATGTTCGGAATTGCAGGAGGTAAGTGTGAAAGATGAATAACTCTCCATGCTGTACGGCTGTCGGGGGCATATTTCAACGGCTTGCTGCCATTGCAACACTCCTAGGACAGTTGGTGGGGGTTCTCAGGAGATCAAGCAGGAAATGCAACTCATCTTACCTCTGCCATCATGGTTTGTTCCGAGTAGCGTTCCAGGCACGTTCGCGATTGATGGCCGCGTGTCGTGATCCAGGAAGCGTCATCCTACGTCACAGAGTGACGTCACAAAGCACGCGCTCTCACCGTGCATCTTGCAATAAAATAATTCAAAAACTGCGTTCAGGACTTCAGTCACTTTTGCATCAACAATCGCACAAAAAATATTGGTGGCGCAAGGAGAAGCTTGTTGTTTGGAGGGACAATTGATCACCGCTGCTTTTCCTTGTCAGAGCCAACAATACACTTTGTTCTTCAGCCTTGGGAGTAGTGTCGGAGTAGAAATTGCTGAGGAGACGTCGCGGAGGGGCGAGCTTTCCTGCGCAGGTATGACTTTGGCCGTATTTCAGCTTGGTCGAGTGGAAAAATTCAAAAACGTGTATTTCAAGAAAACCCCAAAAGGAAGATGGGGGACATGTCCTCAGCGCTAGAAGAGGTGTTCTACTATCTGCCGGTGTATAGCTCTGGCCAATTGAGGATGTAGGTGGCTATTTTGCCAGCGCTTGTAAATTGACTATTTTCAAGACGATCATTTGTGGCGTCAGGGGGTGATGGACCTCGTCTTCTGGGATCCTGGCGTGGCTAAGCGGTACTGCTCCAGGAACTCTTCTAAGGTGAGGCAATGTTGGCTTGATGGAGTTTTGTTCATAGCTTGTTCGTGTACGCTGTGGCATGACTCGTTTCTAGACCCATAAATAATGTGATATTTCGGCCATTTTGAGGGTATGCAAATTTCAAGGTTCCCTTCAGAAACTTTGTCAAGGGCTTTGCACAATCGATCCACACCCCAAAAGAAACCAAATTTTGAGCGAAATCGGAGAGATCCACTTGCACACATACTTTGGTATTCTCAGACATGCTCTCTTAAGTATTACCGTCACCGTGAATCCCGGGACGGATGCCCTAATGCCGTCAACCCTGTTTCTGCACCTTGTCCCCACCCACACACTGAGGTGTGGCGAGCCCAGAAGTGGGATATTTTCCACCCAGTCCAAGTCAAGTTCACCAAGAGTTTGACGAATTCACTTAGTGTCGGTCGTTAAGCGGTTTAATAGCCAATTGAGTCATCTTTCAAAGATTCCTTTTTCGTCTCTCTCCTCTCTCTCCTGGGGAGACCCATGTGACCAGTTATGGAAGTGAGCAACTACAATTACAAACGTGTGTGTACATGTATGTGTGTATCATGTGTGTGTGTATGTGTGTGTGTGTATGTGTGTGTGTGTGTGTATGTATGTGTGTGTGCGTGCGTGTGTGTATAAATGTGTGCACTTGTGCATGCGCGTGTTTATGCACGGGTGTATTTTTCTTGTTCTTTACTCTCGTTTTTCTCAGGAGGAGGCCAGCTGAGACACTCTAGTTGTGGTGATGAAAGTTGGGCAATGATGAATACAAGCAAAAGGCTGTGCAAAGAATTTCCAACCACAACCCTGCAGACCGGGAGCCAAATGAACAGGATCTCGACCAGCTTCAATTACATCTGAACATGTTTCTGTAAGGAAGAGTGGACAAGGTACCTGGACATTACAAGAACACTCCGCATGCACGCACATGCATACGGTTTTTTTGTGCTTGTTAGCCCGCACACTGCTTGGCGTTTTAGAATACAGTCAACTTCGCTAATAACGACTGCGGATATAACGACAATTCGCGAATAACGACAGAATTTCTATGCCCAGAGCAAAGTCACATCCAACTGTAATACATATAATGGGACTTCGGGTATAACGACACTTCGCGAATAAGGACACTTTTCTGATGCCCCGCCGAGTATCGTTATACACGAAGTTGACTGTATACATATGCCTTGTGTTACTGTGCAGATACATAGTGTCTGGTATAGCGAAATATGACAAGCACTTGATTGTATTGTGATGAGTGGCCTTTTGGATTATAATGGAACTTGTACTTCACTCCTATGAATAAGATACTGCCAGGCTGTCAAGGATGTGCACACTCGACTGCTTTGGTCTCGGGACAAAATCCGCTGGCCCGCACTCAACCGGATTATAAACTGTATTGCATTGCTGGTGCCAATGTAGTAGACTTTATGTATGGAGATTTGTGATGACCTTGGTATACGTTATTTACTGTTGCTCACGGGAAAAACTCCTACTCGGTCTAGACAAAACCTTGTAAACTTGAATTTACTGTTGCCAACGGGCAAAACTCCTACTTGGTCTAGACAAAACCTTGTAAACTTGAGTTTCCAACTTTTTGATACCTCAGCCAAGATTGCCATGTCCAGCACGGTGAGATGGATAAGTGAGGCCAAGAAGCAAACACTTGCTGCTCTCTGATTGGCCGAGGGCGGCTGGCCAGTCATTTCAGGTGTGAAGTGCAGTGCCAGGATGGGCTATAAAAGTAATCATTCCAGGAGGGGATGGTGGTCGGGGTTTGGGATGGCCAGAATTTTAGATTTTTTTCTGCAGGCCTGTTTCTCCTTCCTCACGAAGAAACAACAAGAGTTTGAGGAAGGAGAAACAGGCCTGCAGAAAATCAGCAGGCCAAGAAGCAAACACTTGCTGCTCTCTGATTGGCCGAGGGCGGTTGGCCAGTCATTTCAGGTGTGAAGTGCAGTGCCAGGATAGGCTATAAAAGTAATCATTCGGGAGGGGGTGGTGGTCGGGGTTTTAGATTTTTTTCTCCAGGCCTGTTTCTCCTTCCTCACGAAGAAACAACAAGAGTTCAGCCATCAGCAGGCCAAGAAGCAAACACTTGCTGCTCTCTGATTGGCCGAGGGCGGTTGGCCAGTCATTTCAGGTGTGAAGTGCAGTGCCAGGATAGGCTATAAAAGTAATCATTCCGGGAGGGGATGGTGGTCGGGGTTTGGGATGGCCAGAATTTTAGATTTTTTTTCTCCAGGCCTTTTTCTCCTTCCTCACGAAGAAACAACAAGAGTTCAGCCACCAATCAGAGGGCAGCAAGTGTTTGCTTCTTGGCCTGCTGATGGCTGAACTCTTGTTGTTTCTTCGTGAGAACACTTGCTGCTCTCTGATTGGCCGAGGGCGGTTGGCCAGTCATTTCAGGTGTGAAGTGCAGTGCCAGAATTTTAGATTTTTTCTCCGGGCTTGTTTCTCCTTGCTCATGCAGAAACAACAAGAGTTCAGCCATTCTTCCCTCATGCAGAAACAACAAGAGTTCAGACATCAGCAGGCCAAGAAGAAAACACTTGCTGAACTCTGATTGGCTGAGGGCGGTTGACCAATCATTTCAGAATTCTCTCCGCCGGCTTAGAGAATTCTAAAATTCAGTCAATCAGAGTTCAGTATGAGGAAGTAGGAAGGACTGTTTTCGGTGTCTCAGTGTCTCTAGCTGGCATGGTTTTGAGCAACACTCTGCCTGAAGCAGGGACGCATACCCTAGTACCCAATCACAACCCTATTTCAAACAGCACTCGAGCCAGATACCCAAATATCTAATTTCTGCCATCGCTCTCACTCACACGCACACACCCACAGACACACCTGACTGCTAACAATAGAATTGTACCGCACAACTACACGAATATGACAGTAGCATAGGGTGTACATTCCAAGCGGCAGGAAAGCCCCCGAGGCCCTGCACAGTACAATGCCGCAGAAGCATGGTACACTGCACCTTACAAGCTACGATGGCACATCCAATCACCCAGCTCTCCCGGCATTAGAATTCTCTTTGTCGGCTTGGAGAATTCTAAAATTCAATCAATCAATCAGAGTTCAGTACGAGTAGGGACTTCGGTCACCAGCACGCTAAGAAGGATTGCTGAGGGATGAAGTCCTACCTCCTTTACCGTGTAGTTAAATCCCACAAACGAGTCACTTAAAAAGTATGTTGCCCTAGACCTGTGATCACCAGGCTGCGAATAGGGCAGCGTCTACTTGACTCAAGGGAAAGGATTTCATTGAGCAACTCTCCAACTCTACAGGGATGCATAGCCCCCCCCCCCCACACACACAAGCACACTCTGCTAAAGGCTGCAATTCCGTGGAGGCAACCATACCAGTATGGATACCCTAGTACCCAATCACAACCCTACTTCAAGCAGCATTCAAATCAGACACTGAATGCCGTTACATCCAAATATCTCCTTTCTCCCATCGCTCTCACACACACACACACACACAGACACACCTTACTGCTAACAATAGAATTGTACCGCACGACTACACGAATATGACAGTAGCATAGGGTGTACATTCCAAGCGGCAGGAAGGCCCCCGTGGCCCTGCACAGTACAATGCCGCCGAAGCAAGGTACACTGCACCTTACAAGCTACAATGTCACATCCAATCACGCAGCTCTCCCGGCATTATAATTTAACAAGCTGTAAACTGCGGAGTGGTTGACGATAGGGGAAGCATACATGTTGCGCTTCTTGTAAGGCCGTGGTGTACAAGCAGTCATGCTGGCAACCGTTAGTTTCATGCGGGGAGCATCTCCTCAGCACACACACACACATACGCACAAGCCCACTGCTATTACATAACGACGGCCATGATCCACACACAACAACCAAGATAGCGGCAACAAGCGGCAACAAGCGGCACACTTGGAAAACATATTTTTTTAGACACATGCAAAATTAAAGGTTGATCGTTGATGTCCACTGCATCACTGTAGATGTTTGCAGCAGCAATAGCGTGAACAGTTCAGTCCGATGCACGTCTGAAGGCAAAGAAAAATATCACACGAATACAGTGGAACATAAATTATCCCCACATCATCTATCCGCAAGATCAAGTATCGGAATGGCAGCCGGAAGGCCGATTACCCGGAACGGCAGTTCCTCCAAAGTTTCGAAAATATAAGCAATAAAAAGATGCACAATGCAGTACTTGAGTTCACCAGTGCAGTCGTGTAGTCTGTAGATATACCAGGTTAGTGTGTGCTGCTAGAATGCCCGTCGTCAATGTATGGTGGTATGCATTTTCGATGATGAAACTGTATGGCATGCATGTACATGTACATAGTCCTTGTATGAGCCCGATGTCACTCTCTTATTATACGAACATTTTCCCCATCTGAGCTCCTTCTGAACAATGTCTGCCCAGAAGGGTTGGGATATGATTGACGCTATACTACAAAATGAGAATTTGACATGTTCTTGTAGCGTGGCAACCCCGGCAACCCTGTTCTACCGTAAAGTACAGTGAATAAATCACCATCACCATCCCTGCTGCTGCTGCTGTGTCAGGGACTCACAGCTCCCACATCACAGCATGTGTGATGTGGGAGTTTAGATTGAGTTACTACTCATCTGCAGTACGGTATACTATACAATCGAATGCAGAAGATCAACACCTGTTCGGAGAGTGCGGCCATACTGGACTGATTATGTACAGTTCCACCCACCAGTACCACCAGTATCACCAGTATCACCAGTACCACCAGTACCACCAGTATCACCAGTATTACGGTCTGAACTGGCTAGCATGTCTTATGCGCAGGCCGCAAACTAAAGCCCGTCCGTCGACAATACTCTGCCTCAATTTCTAGCTGATTTCTTTGCCCTTCGAGTGGACAGAATAGATTCGAAAAATCGCTCTGGGAAGCAACAATTTTAATGACGTGGAGGAAGTAGATAAAAAAACTTCACACCTAGAGTGACATAGTCGATCAAGTAGCAGCCAGTCGTAGCTGCCACGCAAGGACAGTACCTGGCACAGTCATGACTGGTTTTGGCATACATCAGTGCTAATATTTATATTTACCCATCACAACCATGACTAGTTTGACATATGTCAGTGCCAACATGATCCCATTACTTATCGCTCACATCATCCATAACATCTGTATGATATTGGCCTTCACTCGTTGAATCGAGTAGAGTAATGTCAATCTAAGTGCTAAGTATCACGCATGATTTGATTCATAATGACTAGTCTTAGGTTTTTAGTATCAGTTGTCTGATGATTGCAGTGGCATGAAACTTTGAGTTACGACAAATCCAAACTGGACCTACTTCACTTTTTTCGTGTTTTGTGTAAGTATGAGTGTTCAAGCAGCGTGATGTCAGCACTTCCACAGCATATTACTAGTATGGCATTCGCCAGGCTCACACAGAATGAAATGGCCGCGTTATTCTCGAGAACCTCGTTTGAAGCACCATTGACACTATCACTATGAATATTTTGTGAAGTGACATGTGACATGTGATACTCGAGAAAAGGAAATGCTCATTGCGTACAGTCACATGCAGTCGCAAGGCCATTGCCACAGTAGTTGACCAAAGTGCAACTTTTGCGACTTCCTGCATGTTTTACAGGATAAGCCTCACACAGCATTACAGTATATGCATGAATGTACAGCTGGACATGCACACCAGTACTTGTACAACTAAAGCGCGATGCACTATATCACTTCTCCGAGGCGATGAGCGTCGAGTGACAGCCTTTTCATATCGTGCAAAGAATCTTCGATGCACAATGCACGGCACATTCCAGCGAAATCCAGGAGGGCACGCTCAGTCCAAAACCGTACGCGAGCCGCAAAACATGTGTCACGTGCGCCTGCCGTGTAGAAAGTGTTGCGCATCGCTCGTCGCAGAAGTTGAACTTGGCTCATTTCCCCGGCGGAGCTGCGACAGCCTTCAATGCAAAGTTTTGCAGAAAATGACTGTCGATCACATTGCTCGTCGCTCATCACGTCGCAGAAACGATAATGTGCATCGCGCTTAACATTGTGTCAACATGGTCGAGGGCCTCATCGGTACGGGGCGCCAAATATACATTTCATGTCGGATTTCACCGAGCGCAACTGCAGTAAACACACTGACTATTGACAGCATTGGAAGTATCACAACTACACTTAGCAGGATATGTACTAGCTGAATGTCATCTACAAGACTAGAAGATCACGTCAAAGCCATCTTACGACTTACTCTTCCAACGCTCCATGAAGGGCAACCAAAGTGAAGTTTGTCTCCTCCACGCAGTATGTGTGCACTGGGCTTGCATGTCCGCAACTCTGCTCTGTGTCCGATCCCCAGCTGAATGCCGATGCCCACTGCATCACAGTCGGTGGTTGGAATAGCGATGGTGTGTTGCACTTGTCCACTGTCCAGTTTGATGCACGTCTGCGGAGGAAGTTGAAAATGAAGACATAAACAGCGTGAATTCAGCATATTCTTGTGGCCTCCCAATCGCCGTCCTGGAGAGAGTGCATTTCAAAAAATGCGAGTAGACAAGAAGTGTTTCACACCTTTTCGGCTGCGTCTTCTTGTCTTTGTTTATTTTTTCTTGATGCCATCAGTGATGTCTTGGCTTCACAGCTCTGCTCATACACATTTTCTTTTCTGTTTTTTTTTTGTTGCTGAAAACTACTGTTGTGGACATTGAAGTTCATTGAAAGCACGCACACCTACCTCAACCAAAAAACAAACAACCTGCCACCCATTTGCTCGGCATTGATCGGCCAGATCTGCATGCCGCCTGTCCTGGTTACTAACACTGAATCTGTCCTCAGCACAAACTGTCAACTCCATCCAGAATACAATCCTACGACTCGTAGAGTACAGAACTATATCTGGTCTTAGGGTGGTAAGTGCAACACAGCTAGGGAAAGAAATCGTTGCACTGAGTCGACAAGATGTTTCCAGTCTGAGGCCGCTGACAGCAGATCAGTCGTAACCAACTTTCGTCTGGCTGAACGCGAACTGGCTTCTCTCCCGCATTTCAAAACGAGATAAAGTCAAGCTCATTAGAATTTCGGTTTGTACGGTGTTTGCAGCAGTGCGGATTCGAATCTCCTCACGCATGTTCCTGACGATGACCCAGAGTACGTTGTCGTGCCTCCAGGTGTAACGTCCCTGGTCCAGTGCTACGCGGCATGTGCCAAGCATGTGGTGCGTGGTACAGGCCCATGCATGGCACAAACTACAGTACGGATCAACTACCGTGTTTCCCCAACGGTGAAGGTTCGTCGGAGAAGGTAGTACGTCAAGGGTTGACGGAAGAAGAAATTTCAAATCGTTACCAGTACCACCAAACAAAAGGGATTTCCACGAGGGGTCCAGCCACATCACCGAAGTGTGTGTGTGTGTGTGAGAGAGAGAGAGAGAGAGAGAGAGAGAGAGAGAGAGAGAGAGAGAGAGAGAGAGAGAGAGAGAGAGAGGGTAAGAGAGAGAGTAAGAGTAAGAGAGAGAGAGAGAGAGAGAGAGAGAGAGAGAGAGAGAGAGAGAGAGAGAGAGAGAGAGAGAGAGAGAGAGAGAGAGAGAGAGAGAGAGAGAGAGAGAGAGGAAGAGAGAAAGCGAAAATGAGAGCGAGCGGGAGAGAGAGAGAGAGAGACAGAGAGAGAGAGACAGAGAGAGAGAGAGAGAGAGAGAGAGAGAGACAGAGAGAGACACAGAGAGAGAGAGAGAGAGAGAGAGAGAGAGAGAGAGAGAGAGAGAGAGAGAGAGAGAGAGAGAGAGAGAGAGAGAGAGACAGAGAGAGAGAGACAGAGAGAGAGAGAAAGAGAGAGACAGCGAGACAGAGGGAGAGACAGAGAGAGAGACAGAGAGAGAGACAGAGAGAGACACAGAGAGAGAGAAAGAGGGAGAGAAAGAGACAGCGAGACAGAGCGAGAGAGAGAGAGAGAGAGAGAGAGAGAGAGAAAGAGAGAGAAAGCGAGAGAGAGAGAGAGAGAGAGAGAGAGAGAGAGAATCAGGCAGACAGAGGATCAGACTCCAAACTAGAATTGCTGGGCCCTAAGTGGTTTGCTTATTAAGACATATTGTGTTGCAGATATTTGATGTACACGTGCGTAAACGGTTGTGACAGGCTACCAGTGCCCTGTAAGCATTTCAAACATTTTTAAAGCAAACATATTGCGAGCTAACTTACCAGTCCGATGAGCAACGGAAGCCAGCATCACGTGTGGATGGCATCTTCGATGCTTCTGCAGCAGATTTTGTTGACACTGTAGCAGACCTCCATGAAGCTGTAGCAGACCTCGATGACGCTGCAGCAGACCTTCATGACGCTGTAGCAGACCTCCATGACGCTGCAGCGGACCTTCATGACGCTGTAGCCGACCTCCATGACGCTGTAGCCGACCTCCATGACGCTGTAGCCGACCTCCATGACGCTGTAGCCGACCTCCATGACGCTGTAGCAGATCAAGATCACGCCGCAGCAGACCTCGGTGACGCCGTAAAAGAGAGAGAGAGAGAGAGTGAGAGAGAGAGGGGACAGAGAGAGAGACAGACAGACAAAGAGAGACAGAAAGGGAGAGACAGGGAGAGAGAGACAGGGACAGAGACAGAGAGAGAGGGAGAGACAGGCACACAGAGGATCAGACTCCACAATCGAATTGCTGGACCCTAAGTGTTTTGCCTATTTAGACAAAGTATCGCCAGATATTTGATGTTAGACTGACTCATAGACTCGTTCACAGCCAAGCAACACACAACCCGGATCACGGGGATGAAGTCACTTGGCTGCCCCGCATTATCAAGCAAGTCAGAGCCCCACACTTCCCTTGAAAGAGTTAGGATGAACGGAAGAAGGACTCATCGTTCACTGCTAAGGAACACGCATCCTGAATCACCAGGTATGGAGTTACAAGGCTTCCCTCATTGTCAAGCATATCAGGGCCTCACACTTCCCTTGAAGGAGTGAGGTTAAATGCATTACTCACTCATCGACTTGGTCACTGCCTATCAACACACATCCCGAGTCACTGAGCATGAAGCCATTTGGCTGCCGAAGATTATCAAGCCTATCAGAGCCCCACACTTCCCTTGAAGGAGTGAGGTTGAATGCAAGACTGACTGATCAACTCGTTCAATGCCAAGCAACACACAACCCGAATCACCGGGCATGGAGTCACTCGGCTGTCTCGCATTATCAAGCATATCAGAGCCCCACACTTCCCTTGAAGGAGTGACGTTGAACGCAAGAAAGACTCATCGTACACTGCCAAGCAACACACATCCCGAATAACCAGGTATGGAGTGACAAGGCTTTCCCACATTATCAAGCATATCAGAGCCCCACACTTCCCTTGAAAGAGTGAGGTTGAATGCTAGACTGACTCTTCGACTCGTTCACTGCCAAGCAACACACAACCCGCATCAGCGGGCATGGAGTCACTCGGCTGCCCGGCATTATCAAGCATATCAGAGCCCCACACTTCCCTTGAAGGAGTGGAGTTGAACGCAAGAAGGAGTCATCGTACACTGCCAAGCAACACACATCCCGAATCACCAGGTATGGGGTGACAAGGCTTCCCCACATTGTCAAGCATATCAGAGCCCCACACTTCCCTTGAAGGAGTGAGGGTGAACGCAAGAAGGAGTCATATTACACTGCCAAGCAACACACACCCCGAATCACCAGGTATGGAGTGACAAGGCTTCCCCACATTATCCAGCATATCAGAGCCCCACACTTCCCTTGAAGGAGTGAGGTTGAATGCTAGACTGACTCATCGACTCGTTCACTGCCAAGCAACGCACACACCGAATTACCGGGCATGGAGTCACTTGGCTGCCCCGCATTATCAAGCATATCAGAGCCCCACACTTCCCTTGAAGGAGTGAGGTTGAATGCTAGACTGACTCATCGACTCGTTCACTGCCAAGCAACACACAACCCGGATCAGCGGGCATGGAGTCACTTGGCTGCCCGGCATTTTCAAGCATATCAGAGCCCCACACTTCCCTTGAAGGAGTGGAGTTGAACGCAAGAAGGAGTCATCGTACACTGCCAAGCAACACACATCCCGAATCACCAGGTAAGGGGGGACAAGGCTTCCGCACATTGTCAAGCAAATCAGAGCCCCACACTTCCATTGAAGGAGTGAGGTTTAACGCAAGAAGGACTCGTCGTACACTGCCAAGCAACACACATCCCGAATCACCAGGAGTGACAAGGCTTCCCCACATTATCAAGCATATCAGAGCCCCGCACTTCCCTTGAAGGAGTGAGGTTGAATGCTAGACTAACTCATCGACTCGTTCACTGCCAAGCAACACACAACCCGGATCACCGGGCATGGAGTCACTTGGCTGCCCGGCATTATCAAGCATATCAGAGCCCCACACTTCCCTTGAAGGAGTGGGGTTGAACGCAAGAAGGACTCATCGTACACTGCCAAGCAACACACATCCCGAATCACCAGGTATGGAGTGACAAGGCTTCCCCACATTGTCAAGCATATCAGAGCCCCACACTTCCCTGGAAGGAGTGAGGTTGAATGCTAGACTGACTCTTCGACTCATTCACTGCCAAGCAAAACACAACCCGGATCAACGGGCATGGAGTCACTCGGCTGCCCGGCATTATCAAGCATATCAGAGCCCCGCACTTCCCTTGAAGGAGTGGAGTTGAACGCAAGAAGGAGTCATCGTACACTGCCAAGCTACACACATATCAGAGCCCCACACTTCCCTTGAAGGAGTGAGGTTGAATGCTAGACTGACTCATCGACTCGTTCATTGCCAAGCAACACACAACCCGGATCACCGGGCATGGAGTCACTTGGCTGCCCCGCATTATCAAGCATATCAGAGCCCCACACTTCCCTTGAAGGAGTGGGGTTGAACGCAAGAAGGACTCATCGTACACTGCCAAGCAACACACATCCCGAATCACCAGGTATGGAGTGACAAGGCTTCCCCACATTATCAAGCATATCAGAGCCCCACACTTCCCTTGAACGAGTGAGGTTGAATGCTAGACTGACTCTTCGACTCGTTCACTGCCAAGCAAAACACAACCCGGATCAGCGGGCATGGAGTCACTCGGCTGCCCGGCATTATCAAGCATATCAGAGCCCCACACTTCCCTTGAAGGAGTGGAGTTGAACGCAAGAAGGAGTCATCGTACACTGCCAAGCAACACACATCCCGAATCACCAGGTATGGGGTGACAAGGCTTTCCCACATTGTCAAGCATATCAGAGCCCCACACTTCCCTTGAAGGAGTGAGGTTGAATGCTAGACTGACTCATCGACTCGTTCACTGCCAAACAACGCACACACCGAATTACCGGGCATGGAGTCACTTGGCTGCCCCGCATTATCAAGCATATCAGAGCCCCACACTTCCATTGAAGGAGTGAGGTTGAATGCTAGACTGACTCATCGACTCGTTCACTGCCAAGCAACACACAACCCGGATCAGCGGGCATGGAGTCCCTTGGCTGCCCGGCATTTTCAAGCATATCAGAGCCCCACACTTCCCTTGAAGGAGTGGAGTTGAACGCAAGAAGGAGTCATCGTACACTGCCAAGCAACACACATCCCGAATCACCAGGTGTGGGTTGACAAGGCTTCCCCACATCATCAAGCATATCAGAGCCCCACACTTCCCTTGAAGGAGTGAGGTTGAATGCAAGACTGACTCATCGACACGTTCACTGCAAAGCAACGCACATACCGAATTACCGGGCATGGAGTCACTTGGCTGCCCCTCATTATCAAGCATATCAGAGCCCCACACTTCCATTGAAGGAGTGAGGTTGAACTGAAGAAGGACTCATCGTACACTGCCAAGCAACACACATCCCGAATCACCAGGTATGGAGTGGCAAGGCTTCCCCACATTATCAAGCATATCAGAGCCCCACACTTCCCTTGAAGGAGTGTGGTTGAATGCAAGACTGACTCATCGACTCGTTCACTGCCAAGCAACGCACGCACCGAATTAACGGGCATGGAGTCACTTGGCTGCCCCGCATTATCAAGCATATCAGAGTCCCACACTTCCCTTGAAGGAGTGAGGTTGAACGCAAGAAGGACTCATCGTACACTGCCAAGCAACACACATCCCGAATCACCAGGTATGGAGTGACAAGGCTTCCCCACATTATCAAGCATATCAGAGCCCCACACTTCCTTTGAAGGAGTGAGGTTGAATGCTAGACTGACTCTTCGACTCGTTCACTGCCAAGCAACACACAACCCGGATCAGCGGGCATGGAGTCACTCGGCTGCCCAGCATTATCAAGTATATCAGAGCCCCACACTTCCCTTGAAGGAGTGGGGTTGAACGCAAGAAGGACTCATCGTACACTGCCAAGCAACACACATCCCGAATCACCAGGTATGGAGTGACAAGGCTTCCCCACATTGTCAAGCATATCAGAGCCCCACACTTCCCTGGAAGGAGTGAGGTTGAATGCTAGACTGACTCTTCGACTCATTCACTGCCAAGCAAAACACAACCCAAATCAACGGGCATGGAGTCACTCGGCTGCCCGGCATTATCAAGCATATCAGAGCCCAACACTTCCCTTGAAGGAGTGGAGTTGAACGCAAGAAGGAGTCATCGTACACTGCCAAGCAACACACATCCCGAATCACCAGGTATGGGGTGACAAGGCTTTCCCACATTGTCAAGCATATCAGAGCCCCACACTTCCCTTGAAGGAGTAAGGTTGAATGCTAGACTGACTCATCGACTCGTTCACTGCCAAACAACGCACACACCGAATTACCGGGCATGGAGTCACTTGGCTGCCCCGCATTATCAAGCATATCAGAGCCCCACACTTCCATTGAAGGAGTGAGGTTGAATGCTAGACTGACTCATCGACTCGTTCACTGCCAAGCAACACACAACCCGGATCAGCGGGCATGGAGTCCCTTGGCTGCCCGGCATTTTCAAGCATATCAGAGCCCCACACTTCCCTTGAAGGAGTGGAGTTGAACGCAAGAAGGAGTCATCGTACACTGCCAAGCAACACACATCCCGAATCACCAGGTATGGGTTGACAAGGCTTCCCCACATCATCAAGCATATCAGAGCCCCACACTTCCCTTGAAAGAGTGAGGTTGAATGCAAGACTGACTCATCGACTCGTTCACCGCAAAGCAACGCACATACCGAATTACCGGGCATGGAGTCACTTGGCTGCCCCTCATTATCAAGCATATCAGAGCCCCACACTTCCCTTGAAGGAGTGAGGTGGAACTGAAGAAGGACTCATCGTACACTGCCAAGCAACACACATCCCGAATCACCAGGTATGGAGTGACAAGGCTTCCCCACATTATCAAGCATATCAGAGCCCCACACTTCCCTTGAAGGAGTGAGGTTGAATGGTAGACTGACTCTTCGACTCGTTCACTGCCAAGCAACACACAACCCGGATCAGCGGGCATGGAGTCACTCGGCTGCCCAGCATTATCAAGCATATCAGAGCCCCACACTTCCCTTGAAGGAGTGGAGTTGAACGCAAGAAGGAGTCATCGTACACTGCCAAGCAACACACATCCCGAATCACCAGGTATGGGGTGACAAGGTCTCCCCACATTGTCAAGCATATCAGAGCCCCACACTTCCATTGAAGGAGTGAGGGTGAACGCAAGAAGGAGTCATAGTACACTGCCAAGCAACACACATCCCGGATCAGCGGGCATGGAGTCACTTGGCTGCCCGGCATTTTCAAGCATACCAGAGCCCCAACTTCCCTTGAAGGAGTGGAGTTGAACGCAAGAAGGAGTCATCGTACACTGCCAAGCAACACACATCCCGAATCACCAGATAAGGGGGGAAAAGGCTTCCGCACATTGTCAAGCAAATCAGAGCCCCACACTTCCATTGAAGGAGTGAGGTTCAACGCAAGAAGGACTCATCGTACACTGCCAAGCAACACACATCCCGAATCACCAGGTATGGAGTGACAAGGCTTCCCCACATTATCAAGCATATCAGAGCCCCACACTTCCCTTGAAGGAGTGAGGTTGAATGCTAGACTGACTCTTCGACTCGTTCACTGCCAAGCAACACACAACCCGGATCAGCGGGCATGGAGTCACTCGGCTGCCCGGCATTATCAAGCATATCAGAGCCCCACACTTCCTTTGAAGGAGTGGAGTTGAACGCAAGAAGGAGTCATCGTACACTGCCAAGCAACACAAATCCCGAATCACCAGGTATGGGGTGACAAGGCTTCCCCACATTGTCAAGCATATCAGAGCCCCACACTTCCCTTGAAGGAGTGAGGTTGAATGCTAGACTGACTCATCGACTCGTTCACTGCCAAGCAACGCACATACCGAATTACCGGGCATGGAGTCACTTGGCTGCCCCGCAATATCAAGCATATCAGAGCCCACACTTCCATTGAAG